TTTCTACATTTGGCTAAAGTAACCTCAGTTTTGATTCCTACATTTGGCTAAAGTAATTCTTTGATTATTATAACATTCTAATTGATAACGACATAATTATTCATATGAATAAACATTTAAGTGTGGAATGATTTTTCAGTAGCTTATTTATAGGTTCTAAGCAATGAAGAGAAGAGGAAAATCTATAATCTTCACGGTGAAGAGGGTTTGAAAAGTGCAGGTGGTGGTGATAGTGGAAGTTTCCATGATCCATTTTCTTCATTCTTTGGCGATTTCTTTCACAGCAAACATGAAGAAGGAACACTTCGTGGTGCTGATGTGGTTATGGACTTATGGGTTACACTCGAAGAAGTATATAATGGGAATTTCGTAGAAGTGAAAAGGTTCATGAAATATTATTACACTTCTTTTTTTTGTTTCGTCAACAACATCGTAACAAATAATATTTCAATTTTCACTTTTTTAATTACTGAGGACAATTTAATGGTGCAGTTTGTGAGCCTCGTTCACTTAGTAAGTCCGTACATGACTGTAATCTTAGTCAGATATGTTTAGATGTACGAGTGAAATTTCAAGGTGGCTGAGTCTTGGTAAAGTCTAGTCAAGAATAATAGAATAATTAATGAATGAAAAGGATATGGAACGAGTTACTGCATATATTATTCTATCGCTTTTTGATTGTTGCTTATATTATTGCATTATTTTAAGGATTAACGTGAAGAATTCATGTCATTGCAGGATAAAATCATTATACAAACAGACGTCGGGCACAAGAAAGTGTAACTGTCGTCATGAAATGCGCACCGAACAATTGGGTGCTGGTAGATTCCAGATGTTTCAAGTGAAAATTTGTGATGAATGTCCAAATGTTGTGCTGGTGCAAGAAACGCGGTTCCTTGAAGTATGTTTATATTAATACTAGAAACTTTTTTAATAACCATGTTAATTGAGAAGACAAGATGTCGTGTCAATATAGAAAACGTTACTATTCGGCAGTCTTGATACATTATTTGTTCTTTTGACATGTTCGCAAAATCAATTCTTTCATGTAACGAATTCTGCACCTCGTAAAACAGATCTTGCATGAACCATTTTAGCTTGTTATTGCACATTTAGTTGTCATATACTAATCAACCAACTTTTATTTCAGTTTTTCCTGTTAATTACTGAGTAAGTCTTCACATACATCTCATTCTTACTTCAAATATATGAATGATTTGGTATGTTTCTCAAAAATATTTTAGGTTGAGATCGAAGTAGGAGTGGATGAAGGAAAAACACAGACATTCTTGGGTGAAGGTGAACCACATATTGAGGGTGAACCGGGTGATCTGAAATTTTTAATCAAGATCGAGAAGCACCCAATATTTGAGCGACGTGGTTTGGATCTTTACACTAACGTTACCATATCATTGGAAAGTGCGTTAAAAGGCTTCAAAATGGAAATAACCCATCTTGACGGGCACAAAGTTGAAGTGAGTGAGGAACTTATTTCTTTCCTCTTTCTTAAATATTTCCTCAAACTCATTATTAACAGATGCATTATATGTTGCATATTAGAATGTTAGATGTTACACTCTGAGATAAATTTTATTGAAGATCTTTCTTTCATTACTTGTCACAATAGGTTTCGTTGTTACCACCTGGATCACCGATAAGGCTTTCTTATCGGTTATCATCTGGTTCACCGATAATCTTCATAGGAAAAGTAAAAAAAAACTATGAGTAGCTAGAAAACTGTTTTTTATTATAGGTAATTCACCACGTTTTGGTGCAATTTTGCTTTCCTTAATAAATCTCTTCATATTATCCGTTATGACATTAGATATTTTGTTTTTAAACAAGTTTTTGAGAGTAGAAAGTACTTCTCAGTTTTTACTGAAAAAAGAGCCTGAAAAGGATTATAAGGACATTTCGATTAATTCATCTTCATACAATATAAATAAATCGCCATGGTTTCATAAGGAGAGATAAATTACAGTTTATTTTCCAGGTTGTGCGCGAAAAAATAACTTGGCCAGGAGCACAGATCCGAAAAAAAGATGAAGGAATGCCTTCGTATTCTAATAATAATAAGAAAGGAATTCTGTATATAACCGTCGATGTCGAGTTTCCTCGCGGAGAATTAACTCCTGAACAGAAAGAAATTGTTGAAACACTGTTGAAGCAGGGATCTCTTCAACCGAAAGTATGTTTTATATTGCCTGAATCTCGACGGCATCTTTTTTCAAATAGCTCAAAGATGAAGTGTTGCCTTCATTGGGTGTGGAGAAATTAGGCAAAAATTGCTCACAGTCTTCTTTACTTTAATTTTTCTGAGATTTGTAATTACATCAACAATTTATTAACAAAAGTATTATTCTGGTCCCAAATTTCAGGTTTACAATGGATTGCAGAAGTCATGACAGTGGCCTATATTTATTATGTTTGATGTGATCATGTCATTTCGTTTCATTTTAGCAAGATACGTATAGTTAAGTTATTGAAGTGTTATCGCATTCTTGCCGTTGTTTTTTATTTGTTGGCTGTATTTACATTTTGGAATAATTGTTGTTGCGGCCAAATAAATAGTGGTATTTTAACTTGCATCACATCTTCATATATCAGTGTTTTCCTACATCAATGTTTATTTTTACATTTCTGGTAAGAAATGTAACAATGAAGCAGTTTGGAAGCTGGCTAATATGATCAAAGGTTGCTGCTTAAGAGTGCTTATTTAGGTCGATTCGTTGTCCGACTCTTACTATCGAGAATGAAGCTTCTTTTCTCGTCCGCCCGGTAGTATCAATCGTTTCTTCTCAGTTTAATGGTAGCGATAAACAACCTTAAAACCATTTTACATCATGTGGCAACTTAGTCGTCCATTTTCGTTGATCTGCTTATTTTACGGTTTAGAGCGTCGTGCCGTATTTCCGGTTGAGTATCGGTCCTGAACGTCCGCATGAACTGGATTGGGGAATTAGGATTTTGCCTCTTGATAGCTGTTATGTGAAGCCGATTTGATATTTTGCAGCTCCCAAATATCCCAAAAAACCATAATATACTAGTGAAGATCTTGGAAGCTGAATTAATTGTAACCGTTCTCACCTATAAGAAAATCAAAAGCAATGAGCAACAACACCAGCATAACTACAAATTTAAATTGTTCCGATAGCTCAGGGAATAACCATCCTGATTTCATCATATCAGGATGTTATACTTTCAGGAGATCAATGAATAGTCCATGTAAACATATTGGTAAACATCAGCGAACGTTGTCGAAAACGCTTAATAATGTTGTTTATGCAGTTATCTTCCCTAATAATACTAAAGCACGGGAAGTTCACGTGAGTTTTACCAGTTGATTGATTAATTGATTGATTTCAGTATGCAATAATGGAATATATTTGATATTTTAACAAGCTTCTATATTGGAAATAATATATAATTAGATTAAACACTTCATATACGATAATAATGTGATCGTTATTACATGATAGATAAACAGTTTCGGAAATTTTTGATTGACTAAAAAAAAGTGACTTTTAAATTAAACATATTAAGATTAGATTAACTGCATGTACCAAAATCCTGTGAGGAATCTAATTCATACACTGATATGATAAATAATTAGAAGGAACGATCAATTTACCAAAGATATGTGTTGTTTGGTTAATGATATGATATCTCAAGTATATGCTTATTTTGTTAATGTTCCAATTCAACTTTAATTATTTATTGATATTTTAAGCAGCAATAACTTCGAATTTTTCTATTTTACTGAAAGGTATTTAGATGCTCTTTTGATCATTTATATATTGATCTCTCCAACAGCAATCATTTACAGGCTAAATATATTCGATGCATTCAATGTAAAACACGATTGAATGCATTGATGTGTGCATGCTGCCAATGTTCAACATTTGCATGTTTAACACATATGCAAGATCATCTGGCAACTAAAGAACACCTCTTCGGTAAGACTGCTACAGTTAATATTTCTTCATTTGTAAAATCAAACTCTTTCCAAGTAATAATTATTTCTGTATTTGCAGCAGTTTCTGTCGAAACAGGTTTTATTTATTGTTGTCAGTGTGGTGATTTTGTATATGATCGTGAGATGGAGGACGCTCGACGAGATGCCGAAAATGGTTGTCGACGATCGTTAAACTTAAGTACCCGGAGTATTTGGTATCCAGGTGCAGCTGTTGTGGATATTTGTCATGATGACCCTACTCGTATGGTTCGGTTTTCGAGGAGTAGTATAAGAGGTAATTTCCATATTAAACTAATTGATTTCTGCTGCCGTCTAGCAGATAGTATCTTCTTGTTATCCTTTGAATATCATATTTATAGAATGACCATTAACGTAGTGTGCAACTTTGTTATAATATGAAATAAACTAGATAAAATGTCTAAATTGTTAGCCTACTAGCTTAACTTATCGTTTATTGCATTAAAACTATTATGTTACCAAGATTTTGTATTTTGCGACATTGTTATTACAGGTTTACGTGGGCTGGTGAATTTAGGAAATACCTGTTTCATGAACTGTATTATACAAGCCATCGTACACACACCACATCTAAAGGATTATTTTCTCACTGATCAACATCATTGTGCTTCATCATCATATAGCAAAGCTCAATGTCTCATGTGTGAACTTTCCAATACTTTTCAGGTAACTCGGTGTTTATCGACAAGTTTTGTTGTCATCATCCATTCTTTTAGATTCCTGCTGTTTTACTGTACAAGCACGAGCTGGTGTTTTCCTTGCTAAAGATTTGTTACGACGCTGTGGTAGTAAGTAAACGATTTGCTCCTGCACTGTACAAAGTAGTCCAATGTCTTTCTCTATTTTTTGTTGATTCTTTGGCTGATAGACTTAGCACGTAGATTTTCCTTTAATAACGGGCTTCAGTTGCAACTTTTCCATCCAGGTATTCGTTGTCGCGAAAATCAAAATATGTTGAAACGGTTCTATTTCACTTTCACCAATACTTCACTGATAAAATATCACATTCTCTGTTTGTCATTTTCATCATCTTATCACTTATTCCTGGCTAATGGGGCTAATGAGTTTCTTATTTGTTCGAAAATGGATGTTTCTAGGAATTTTACAAAGGTGATGTTACACCTTACAAACCGAATCGATTCCTAAACCTCGTCTGGACACATGCTAGGCATTTGGCTGGTTACGAACAACAGGACGCACATGAATTCTTTATTGCCGCTCTTGATGTGCTTCATCGACATTCCGGAAGTTAGTTTTTTTTTAATATCTTTGTTGACATTATAAGTCTACTTTAATTCATATTTAATTAATATTAATTATTACAGGTAGTTCACTTCCCTCTACGCCAAATGAATGCAACTGTATTATTGACTGGATCTTTACCGGCAAACTGCAATCTGATCTCACATGCTCAATTTGTGGGTATGCTTATCGTTTATTTTGTGAAGTTATTGATTAGTTTTAGAAGCAAAATTATTCGAAATGACCCAGTGAGCAAACAAGAGATGAAGTAGGAGAACTCTCTGATCGATTAATCAATAAAAATATTTAGATGTGTTTCAACAACTGTTGACCCATTCTGGGATATATCGCTTGATGTTGCACAAGAAGTGTTACGTTCACCTAGCAGCAGCTCTGGTTCACTACAGCAAATAACTTTAGAAGATTGCTTGCATAGGTAAGTTAGTCTTTCTTTTTTAAAGAATGAAAAAAACAGATTTATCACTAATAACTCTAATTCTTTCCAGTACATAAGGATAGAAGTCGAAGTAAAAAATTTGTTAAGAGTTGAGGTTGATATTGGACTAAGAATTTGATGATTTACTTTCAGGTATATTATGCCCGAGCATTTGGGAAGTAATGCGAAGACCAAATGTGCTCGATGTGAAACGTATGAGGAGTCAACGAAGCAGCTTACCTTAAAAACTCTCCCAATGGTTGCCTGCTTTCATTTAAAACGTTTTGAACATAGTCATAAAGACCGAAAAAAAATGGATACTAAAATCAAGTATCCGCAATTCATTGATATGACTCCGTTCACGGCTTCGTTTCGCGAGCGTTCCACAGGTGCTCCGCAGAACAAAACTAGTGTAGTCACCGATTTGCTCACAACGAATCGAAATAAGTATGGTTTTATTGACGAACGATATAAGTGGGCTGTATTAATCTGGATTACCACCATATTAGAGAAGATGAAAATAGGGAAAAGAGGTAGCTTTACGTGAGTCAAAGTGAAAGCGCGATAGGACATGCAACATTTGATGATATTAGATTGAGATTCATCAGTAGTTCATTAGTTTGTTTTACTGCGGTAGTTTGTTCATAATACCTCAACTGTATTAATTAAAAATATATTACTTTAACTGTTGACATAATTCTGCGGATGAGATTTTTAGAGTAGCTGCAGGATAAACCTGATTTTTCGTGTCCTAGGTCGATGGTCATTTTGTATATATGAAGAATTATTTCAGATACGAACTGTTTGCAGTTGTGAATCACTTGGGAACGATGGAAAGTGGCCATTACACGTGTTATATCCGGCATCAACGTAACCAGTGGTTTCAATGTGATGATCAGAAAGTTACGAAAGTACCCACAGAACGAGTCCTCTCTTCCCAAGGCTACTTACTGTTTTATCATAAATGTCATGCTGATTATTATTAAACAGCCATATAGGGACTAATTTTCAGTTGTGTATAGATTTTTTATTTTGCTTCCTATCCAAATAGATGGAAAGAAAGGCCTCAGGAAGAAACTGGTAATCATTAAAAATATAGCTAAAAATCAGTCATTACTTGGCTGGTTTTTTTTTTTTTGCTGTATTATACAGAAGTTAGATACCATTTAGGAAGGTGCAATACTAAGGTAAATTTTTCATTTAGGTAACGAAAATAGACTTTAATACGCCACTCATATCTTTCAGAGCTTGTTTCATATTCATAGCATCCATGCACTGTTTCAACTTCCACGATTATTTTGCTTTCGGGAAGGAATAATTGCGA